TGACACATTCAGAAGAAACTGTATTTCTGAATTTTCCTTGAAAATTCCTTATAATCACTTTATTATAAGATAGGCTTTGTGTTAGATGATTTAGCCGAACTGTAGGCTAATGTAAGTGTTCTGAGCACATTTAGGTAGGGGTAGGCTAAAAGCTATGTTTGGTAAGTTAGGAGTATTAAATGCATTTTTGACAAATTTTCAATTTACAATGGGTTTATTGGGATGTAGCACCATCATAAATTGAACAGCATCTATGTAACATTATGTTAGACTCCTAATCTTGCTGATTATTGGGAGGTGAGATGCACAGTAATTCAGGGCAGAGGCCTTGGAGCAGGGCTACATGGGATCAAATCCCTGCTGCTGTCTTCTGTGCGGCTGAGGTTCTAATCCAGTTCTGCCAGACTTGCTGAGTGGCCCTCAGGTGAGTCACATAAGCTCTGTAGATATAGGCTTCTCATTGCAAAACATCCCAAGCTAAATTCAGTATTCCCCCTCCACCCTGACCCTACCCGTTCCTTTTCCAAGCATCCCCATCTGAGTAAATGGCCCATCAGCCACCCAGAGTGTCAAGCCAAGTTCATCCTTCACATCTAATCTACCTCCTAACCACATCCTAAGTCCATTCCCCTCTGCAGCCCCACTGTCACACCAGTGCAGGCCATCAAAATTTCTCATCTGTACTCTGCCACAAGACTGTCAAATGCTTTATAAAATGCAAATTAGATTGAGTCATTCCCCTGCCTAACATCCTTCAAATGGTTTCCTTCACTTTTGGATTAAGTCTGAAAAGGCTATGGCCTTTGAGCCCGTGCACGGTTTGGTGCTGATTTCTCTCTCCACTCAGTTCAGGCTACCTCTTGCTGTCCTTCCCAGAGATTTGTCCACACCAGCTTTGTGTTCTAGCTCCTAGCTCTAGGGACTTTGCACAACTGTTCCCTCTGCCTGGAATGCTATTCCTCAATTAAGTCTTAGACTCATTGCTCATTTGAGGTCGCAGCTCAATGTCAGTCTTTCAGGGAGAAACTTTCTGATCCTTCAAATCAGGTCAGGTACTGGTAACCTCCTTCACAGCACCTGTCACCATGTCATTGGTGCATGTTTCTGACTCCCGGCTCTCAGGCAGGCTCATCCTCATTCTGCTGTGTTTACCATGTGCTCCCCTAGGGGTCTGGACAGTTGTTTGCTTCCTCTGGACTGCGTGTACCTAAAGGACAGCATCCTCTGTACACAGAAGAGAACCAGTCCCTGTACAAGTATTTGCTGGGTGATCATGAGTCTAGGACGACCTCAAAGAACCTTCTCTTCCAAACTAATCATTTTTTTTTTTTTTTTTTTGTCTTTTTTCGTGTCCGGCAACGGATCACAACCCTCAGTGTTGCCCCCGTACCGGGCCGGGACCGGCCACAGGATCGCAACCCTCAGT